ATAATTTACCTGATTTAGATTGGAAAATAAGAATGTTACTCAGGAAGAGAAAATACTGTGCGCATGCTTATGTCCCTCACCTCTCCACAAGCAGTCATGAGCCAGGTCACCCAGCCAGCCCTGATGACTTTCCTTTGGTGGCGTGGAGCCCACGGATGGCACAGGGCAGAACAGTCTTCATCCCTGTTGCGGTGCTGGCGCAGGGTGCTCTGGAACAGCGAGTGACCTAAGCTTTTGAAAGTACTTTTTTGTAGTTCCATCTAACATGGATGTCTGACTATGTCATGAAGTGAGATTTCAAGGAGGTTAATTGAAATATTTTGGCTGATACTGTTTGGTTTTTAGTCCAGGCTTGCACAATGGTAATAAACAGACAGCAAGAATTGAGGCCGAAGAAATAAAAATTTCTTAAGTTAAATGAGAACTGTGTTTTTATGTTGTCTTAATGAATAATGTTTTTAAAAGTAATAGCTCTTCCTCAGTGGTAGCTATTTTTTTACTTGTCAGTGAAAATCTTTGGAAGTACCAGATAACCCTTTAAAGTATTTAAAAACTATTTTTGTGAGAAGTTGGCTGAAAAAGACCAAATGTTTAGCTTAAACTCATTTACAAATTAACTTATAAAAGTTTTTGCGACATTTTCAATAAAAAGTGTAACGTAAGATTTTCAGAATTTTTTTTTAAATGGTTAAACTTTGGGCTCATTTCAGGGATGGAAAGAATCTGATTTCTATAATTTTTTCAGAAAAGATATTTTTAAATTATTTTCCAGTCAAAAAAACTATTTCAAAGCATTCTTTTGAAGAGAATTCAAAGGACATTTTACAAAATAGTATTTAACCCCTTAGATTTCCTTAAGACTTTCTGTGCTTGGTTGTCATCCTAGTTACTGGATTTTTATATTTTGCAGTATGATTGTAATAGAATTTGAAGAGGCCTAAGACCTGATACATGACCCACTGAAGTCAGTACAAATCACCCACTAATTCTGGTGGACTGTTTCAGCATCTAAATAATTTATTTTGCTAGCTCAAAGTTGCACACTTGGTTTTTGGCCACAGACAATAGCTGGAAGATACTATGTTTTACATTCATTGTTAGTGCTGTGGTAATATGTGAATTTTAATCTTCAGCCAAACCCGAATGTGCTGGACGGTGCTGTGCAAACAGGTAACATGATGGCAGTCTTTGCTCAACAAAATGTCATCACTGTTAGATTAAAACCAGTACAGAAATCATCACCTGGATATTGTGCACAGAGGTGTAGAGCCCAGGAGAACTTTTTAATAGAATTTTTACTCCTGTGAGTTACACATCTAAGTTAATGTGAGGGAAGATAAGCATGTTAAGTGATGATACAGAATTGTTCCTAATAGCTCAGCAATGATCAGGTTCCTTAGACAGCATATTACACATATTCACAGAGACAACAAACATGGGCAAGTACATAAAAACATGTTTTAGATCTTTTTAATTTGGCTGATACATTAGATTTTGTAATTTTAAGGTGTTGTTTGTATGAAAGCTTAGGGAGTGATAGACTGAATAAAGCTGTAATGATAATACCTAGATTTTAAGGTTTATAGCTATGAAATTGTCCTTTGTGCACCTCATGTAAATATATTCAATGCATTTCTATGCTTGATTACAAAGCCTGATATTTCAGGAATATTTATTTAAATCATCAAAACTATTGAAGTTTTTATAGCATTAGAACAATTATAACAATTTTTGTTTTATCTCAAGAACTAGAAATGTATGCAATCACTACTATTTTGAAATAGACACTACAAAACTACTAAGAATAATTTTATGTAGAAAAATTATTAAGCAATATTTATGAAGTATTGACATATGAAACTCCTGCATAGAACAGGTTGGACTATGGTATTTAGGGAAAATTTTGGCAGTTTTGTGGTGAAATCCCTGAAGAACACCTAGTATGATATAAGTAACTTTGAAAGTGACTAAATAAGTTCTATTAATAGGTGGATTTTGTTGGATGTAAAATGGTAACTCAGTAGTTATATTTCTTGAGAATATGCATCAGCTATCTAGAATTACTTAGGTTGGCATCCCTCCATGGTTTTATACACAGATAAATTAGGGCATAGATAGTCTCAGCTGTAGATGTAGATACAGTCAAGATGTATCTTTGCTCTTGCTGTTTCTGAAGCATTGCATATCTAATTCATCAGTCGTATTAAAGACAGTCCCTGTGTTGATATTAAATCTCACCTGTGTATCTGAATTCAATGCTGTGGGTTTTTTTGACTCATGTCATTCATTGCAAGTAGTGCACTGTCTGCAACTGGAATTTAGCCAATAGCTACTGATGTCAGAATGTCCAGAATAGAACCTGTCTTGCTTTCTCAATCAGTAATAACTCCTGCACCACTCTCAGGCTAGTTCTGCACTTGGAACTGAACCAGTGCATCTGTTAATGATGCATACAAACAATTCAGCTAATTTTCAGCTATGACGACTCTGGCTGCATAGAAAAAAGCAAAAGATTAATTTCCCCAAACTTGGTTTTCAATATGAACAAAGAACTGATCTGCTAAGAAAGAAATTGTCATTTTTTACTTGCAGCAATAAGTCATATGACACATAAATGTTTCCTGACAACATCATGGAGTGGTGAAGGAAACAAACCAGTCAGAATAGTGATTTCCAGATCTTTGACTGAATTTATACATCAGTTTATTAAGTTGATTTGCTGCTGCTTATCTATTAGTAATACCTGTAAATGTTATTTTCTTTCCATGATGTAAAAATACACACATTAAAAAAACACTGGCTTGTAGAGGGAAGTGTGTGTATATATATATATATATATATTTGTAAACATGCACAGGATGCTAAAAAAGGTCCAAGAGGCCTTGTAGATAAACAGAGCAAGAATATCAGTATGCTAAGAAAAGTGGTTTATCAGACAGTGCTAGGAGTCTGCTTGCAATGGCAACATGTCACCATGCTGATCAGATTTGCAGTTGTGTGGCTTTGTGCCTTGCACTGTTTTTGTATTCATGACATCTAGACATTATAAAGTACCTTTACGGAGACTAATTTCAGTTTTGTAAAGCTTCATGTAAATGCATTTGGACCAAGGTTTTCCAGGATGCAGTTTGCTTTTTCTGGCCCTTTTGCTTGCTTTTCTTCATGTATGAGAAGGTAGAGGGGCTCGGGAGCAAACAGAGGTGGCTTGGTAAATGCTCGTCCTGAAGAAAAAAGGCATCAGCCCCTTGTTTTCCAGCATCTCTGGAGGGAGAAGGTACTTTGCATCGTATTTCTGGAAAAGGGGGGCCTCGTGTGGTCAGCCGGGAGAACAGCTGCCCGTCGGGCTGGGGGGAGCTCCCGTTTCAGCGGAGCTGCTGTTAGGACAGCCAGGCCGGTAAACATGGCCATGCTGGTGGTGTTTCATAGCAATACTGATGACTAGATTAAAGGATGAAGAAACACCCGAGTATGATTGCAGCTGATCTGTTATTGAACAGGTCTGAAGTAGGAAATACGGTTCTCACTGATCCTTTTTTTCCTTATTGTGTTAGAAGATTTCATTGCTTTTCTTAGGCATCTAAAACAAGTAACAAATGTAACTCAAGCTCAAAAGTCCACGTTTGATATTAAATTAATTAGTTGAACAAGAGAATGGAAATGGAGCTGTGGTCTGTCAGGTAACTGACCAAATGACAACATTTTGATTCAAGTGCAAAATTAAGAAAAAAATCCCCCAAATCTGAAAGAGTGTCTAGTACATGTAAGTTTAAGAAAATAATGTATGAGGTATCCAACGCTCAGTTCTTTACCTTTAGAGGTTGTAATATCTAGCTGTGAGGAACTGCACAACAAACCAGGTAGAGGCCTCTGAGAATTCCTGTGTATCAGCCATGCGTAGGTTAAAGCCCTAGTGCACGAGAGGGTAGTCCAACACTCTTACCTTAGATACATATCTTGGAGAGAAATTAGTCCAGTTGTAATGTATTTATCTCATTCCCCTGACTGCATTCTTATTCTCCGTTCTAAGCACGTTCTCCAACTTCTTGAAGAATTACAATTAAATTCCCCAAAACATAGGATTTACCATCAGTAACATGCTGACTGCTGTCAGCTGGGATTTGTGAGAAGCCTCTCATTGTGCCAGCCCTTCTGAAGAGAATTACTTCTGTTTGTGACTTTAGCTGGGAGTAGTCTCTGGGGAAGGCACAGGTCTGCCCTTGTGTCCACACACATGAACAGTGCGGGGCTGCAAGCTGGCTCCTTGTTTGTTACTGTTTGATTTATAGCATTTGTCCATTATCTTTTTCAGTGACTTAAATCCCTTCCCTTGCTTAACATTAGTCAAAATTTCCCTTAAAAGCAAATGTACTTGTGATTGGGATGTAGCTCTCAACATACTAGGTTCAGGTCATCAGGATACTAATGGTGGGATTCATCTGCTACACAGAAATTGCATGTGGGAGTGGGTTATCAGGTTCACCTCAAGTAGTAGCCTTTATTGTACATTGAGCAGGCAGGGTGAAGACAACAGTATTCTGGACTCTGTAATCTCACCATGGTTTTTTAGTTTGCTTATCTCTCTGATGCAGCAGATAGTGTCTAATGCTGTACTATCAGCAATTGCATCTTCTAAACTATCTCCAGGGTGAGATGCAGAGGAAGCATTCTCTGATGATGGAAGCTAGTGTTTATTATCAAATGCTTTTCAGGACCTTACCACAGGGAAGAAAAAACCCTGCAACACTGTTCAGTTTTCTAATTTTGTCTAGAGAAAACTAAATGAGAAGTGTTGCCTCGAGATTAAAAGAACACATGTGGGGGCAAAAGAAGTGTGTATTATTTTAAAGCTTTATTTTTTCTTTCTATAACTGAAGTGCAACAGAATATTTATACCCATAGGGTCCAATTCAGGTTGTCTTCTGGTAATATTTATTCTTTTTTTCCAAGAGCGTGATGCCAATGTCCCTGAAATTCATAGTGGAAGTGCTTGTTCAAACGGAAAAAAAAACACGGAAAAACCAGAGGGAATCCTGCCATGTGACCTTTTTACCTGCGCATCCATCTTCTGCGCCTCCCTAGGGGATGCTGTAGATGGCCTTGCAGGCGGTTTGCCTGTAGGAAGGGCCGTCCTCTGGGCACTGCGGGGGCAGGAAGAAGGGGGCGTCCGCCGCTCCCCGCCGCCGGGCATGGCGCCGCTGGTGCTGTACCACTGGACGCAGTCCTTCTCCTCGCAGAAGGTGAGGG